ACCCGTCCCCTAACTAGGCCCCTGGGCCACCAGCCCTCCCCCCATCCACCGCACCTGCCAGTGCGCGATATACTATACCACGTAGTTATCGACCCGGCGGACCGAAGGGACGACGGTGGGGTCCCCACCCGGCCCCAGCACCAGTGCGCCAAGCCTAGCGCCCGTAGCGTCCCATTGGGGGGGAGGCTCCACCTGCTCGAAACAGGCGCCAAAAATGGCCGCGATATGCTCCATAGGGGGTGGGGAGGTGCGAGGGCCCGCGCCGATCGGCAAGACCACGAGTAAAAAGGAATAATCACCGTGTAGACGGCGACGTCCGAACCCGAGCCGCGAGATGCGCGAAGCGCGACCACCTCTGCGCACCTGTGGGGGGAATCTCTTGGGGTGGCCTCCACCGCCGCCGCCGACGGCGCAGGACGGCGAACGGCCACGCCGACGGGGAGCCTCCTCCTCCTCCTCCTCCTCTGCGCCTGGCTGCTCGCTTGCAGTGTGCAGCCTCGGCTGGTTGTCTCACTCTCACACCAGCATCAGGTGGCGACATCCGAGCCCTGCCCCACCAGTCACCGATCCTCCTGAATCGATGGGAAGCAGAAGCCTCCAGGAGACCCCAGGAGGCCCCCCAAGCAGCCCCCGAGAGGCTCCAAGAGGCCCACCAGAGTCTGAGGCCCAAAGAGAGGCCCCGAAACGGCCCCCCAAAGGCCTCAAGAGTGCTGCCAGGAGGCCCCCGAGAGACCGACCAGGAGCCCCCCGAGGGGTCGGCAGAGCGGCGCAAGCCCAAGAATCACCGACCCTCCGGAATCGATGGGAGGCAGGGGGCAGGGCTCAGACCTCGCCACGTGTTCGACGAAGTCCGAACCCTGCACCCGCCGCCTATCGGGTTGCCTGGATCGTTGAGCGGTGAGGGTAGGGTTTGGACTTCGCCGCCCGTGGCCCTCTGGAGGAGGAGCACCACCCGAGTTAGCGCAGCAGGAGGTCGGATACGGCCGAGGACCGCCCCGCTAAGCACCGCGCTCTGCCCTTGAAGACCTGGTGGGCGAAGGCCCTGTCCTGCCTCCCTTGTCGGCGGCAGCTGTTGAAAGAGGTAAATAAGATGTCAGCGGCAACGGCACAGGCATGCATGTATTCAGAAGCGCGATGGCAGAGGGTGGAAGACGGCCAAAGATGAGGCAGAAAACAAAATGGAGCCCAGTATCCCCATTCTGGGGGTAGCGATGGCACCAGCTGACGAATTGCAGGAGTAGCAATTGGGCACGTGAAGTAGTGGGCTATGTTGTCGGCTCCTAGATTACAGCACCCAAACACACATGCGCCAGTGGTTTGTCTAAATCTCCTAGTCGTCGGCCAGGCATTGAACACGGTTTTAATTAAGGAGGTCAGGATAAAGCTAGGCAACTTTTTGCTCAGGACATTAAATCGAAGCACAACAAGGTCAGCATCGGCACGAGTAGCACTGGGCATCCAATACTTGACACGCGCATGCACAAGATGGTTTGCATATACATGTGGACGCTGCTCGATCAGGAATTTGGTGATGGAGCTCTGGAGCGACTTCGGGGGGCAATCCATGGGGGCCCTGGGGATAGCGACATAGTTGTTATACACCTTTCTCATGTTCCCGAAGATGGACTGTTCGAAGAAGGTATTAAGCCTGTACGCGGGTACGTGTTCGTCATCCTCGAGGGCAGCCTGGAAGCACACTTGCATCGCGTCAAACTGCTTAGACCGAATGGCTGTCCTAAGCATCGATGCTCTGCACAATATCTCTACCGATCGGCACTCGAGGGGAAGCCCCAGATCCTTCAGGTGGAACATGCTTTTGGGCGGAAAGGCGTGACGAGGAGCACGGGGCAGAAGCTGGTGCGCCTCCCTCTCGCACCGCAGCAGGGTCGAGGTCGGCGGGTAAAACTGCCCAACATGGGAGACGACCGGCAGCGCATACGTGTTATACCCCTGGATGGACTGGATGAAACTAAGGCCTAATTTCCTCACATCCTCGGTCCTCGCCCTGAGCTTCTTGGTAACTTCAAACCACCCCTCCGTGAAAGCATCGTACCCAACCAATATCCCAAGGAGCTTCCCAGACTTCCGAATCTTATAATCAGAAACATCAAGCCCTTGAACAGAAAATCCTTCCTGGATGCTCTTGGACCCCTCGAGGTGGAGCATTACTATCACACACTTGCTGTTGTTGAGCACTAGCCCCGTGATACACGAGGAAGAGGCCAATCTCTCAACAACTTCTGGCAGAGCCCTGAACAGATTTCTTGCGACAAGGTAGAAATCGTCCGCAAAGGCACCAATTTCGAAACCCAATGTCGGCTTCAGCTGTACAAGGTAGCGGAGCAGCGGGTCGGCAACCAGCGCGAACAGGACACCACTCAAGGGACACCCCTGCTTCATCCCCCTCCTCGCCCAATATCCGTGATTCTCCCCAATGGTGATTACCGTCCACACCTTATCATATAAAGAGGTAATGGCAGAGACCAAGAAGGTGAGGAGACACATGGAGCCCAGGACCCTCATGATCCAGTCCTGGTTAACGCTCGGGAAGGCATTCTTAAAGTCGAAGAGTGTGAAGCCGCACATGGGCTCCTTAAACACCGTGCCCCACAATGTCAGCATCCCGTCCATGTTGATAATATTGTCATTCATCATCCTCCCCCTCACGAACCCTCTCTGAATTTCGTGGCACTTGTCAGCAGCAACTTCATTCAATACCGAAGCGATGGCGGCACTCACTAGCTTGTTATCTGTGTTAGATATCGTGGCCCTCTGGAGGAGGAGGAGGAGGAGGAGGAGGAGGAGGAGGAGGAGGAGGAGGAGGAGGACGAGGAGGAGGAGGAGGAGGAGAGGAGGGAGAGGAAGGAGGAGGAGGAGGAGGAGGAGAGATTAGGAGGCAACTACTGGGAAGTCTTCGTTGGAAGGGCGAAAGCGGATTGCGCCCCGGTGGGGGGCTGTTGCGCCGGAGTGGGCCCCGGATGGAGCGGGCTTGGGCCGGGTGAAGCGGGATGAGGCCGCACCAGATGGGGTCAAACCAGATGTAAGCCAGACCTCTGACCAGGGCACAGTCAGGCCCTGACCTCCCAGGAGCTGCCTCCGAGGAGAGGAGCAGGGGCGCGGGCCGGCCGGCGGGCGGAGCGTGGGGAGGGGCGGGCGGAGGGGCCAACGGGGCAGGGAGGGCGGCACGGGCACCAGCGCCTGCCGGAGGTCCACACGGGACTGCGCAGCTCGGCGCTCTGGCCCTGGAGGCGACGCGCCTGGCGCGCCGAGGCGCGCCAGGGAGGGAAGCAGTGGGCCATCTCGAGTGGGGCCCTCGTGAGGCCTCGAAAGCCTGCCGCGAGCGCAAAGGGCGAGAAGGCAGCACTCGTGGAGATCCCCCGCGCCTGCGGCAGATGTGGGCTGCTCGAGGGCCTCCTTGGGAGGCTCCGTGGCCACTTTGCAGCAGTCTTGGGGCCGTCTTGGGGCACCTCGGAGGCCACCTCGCCCTGCTCTGCCCTGCTGGGGCCGCGCGTCGGCCGGAGCGGTTCGTCCGCCCTGCTAGGGCAGTACCCCCCCCCCCGGCCTCCTCTTCCTCCTCCTCCTCCTCCTCCTCCTCCTCCTCCTCTTTCTCCTCCTCCTCCTCTCCCCTACTCCGACGAACCGCTGGGTGGAAAGGTCCGCCTCTAAAGCCGAAAGCGCCGATGCGCAATAACACGCATGAGACTTAGGGCTCTAGCCTTTGTTGGCTTCCAAGATGGCTTCGGATGGACTCCCAAGAGGCCCTAAGGGGCGACAATGAGGCGCCCAAGGTGGTCGGCCAATGATGCCTCCGAGAGGCCCACAAGACTGCCTGAACGGGTCCGAGCGCATCCCAAGACGGCC